TATGTATTGTGATGAATTGTATGAGCCCCAATAAATTGATTTAAAAAAAAATAACAATAGCAAATATTGATTGAGGATGTGGAGACAACGGAACTCTTTATTTGTGGAAAATAAACTGGTGCAGCCAAAATATCTTGATTAAACCCTGAGTATTTATTATAAAGTACTGTGGGAAATTGGGGGCATGCTCAAGTTTTTGGATTCTTTCTAACCTATCTTGTAAAATATCTATTGGTGAGGATTTTCTGTAGTGTTCACTGTTTCATTTCATTGTTTTTTGACTTTAAAATGGATTTTATTAGGATTATATTAAGCAGTTAGCTCCTGTATATAAATAGAGTTTGTTAAGTTCACTAAATGCAATTGAGTTCTGAATTTTACTTAATAGGAAGGGGTGTGTGCTATAGATTTGTGGGGGAGGGCAAACTAAAATGAAGTGATCCTTAGTATACTTGAATAGACTTGTTGGCAATTACTGTAGATGTGTGTATCGGTTTGCTTTGTGATCCTATAAGGAGTTACAGTTTCGGAAACCCACAGAAACGTTTCTACCCTGTCCTGTAGGATCACTGTGAGTCAGAAGGAATAGACTTGGTGACAGTGAATGTGAGAGTGCAGAAAGCAGTGTGTTCCCACAGTGGGTGATACCACTCCCCGGAGGGGGGCGGGGTTGGAATAATCAGGGGTCTTTAAAAGCAAATATCTACACTTAATCCTGGATTATGAGCCACAGTACCAAATTTTTTAATTTGGGTGGGGGTGCTGAATAATTTTTTTTCTGGAAAGGTTTTGGAAACCGACATGCTAACGTCATAATGGAAATTAAATGAGCTTTCATTGCTTTTTCCAAGTTACTGTACTTCTGAAGCTTACGTAGTCTTTGGTAAATGCTATAGTTATCTAGTGCTGCTGTAACAGAAATACCATGATGGGTATACTTAAGAAGCAAATTAATTCCTTCACATTTCAGGAAACTAGAAATTAGAATTCAGAGCACTGGCTCCAACTGGGAAGGATTTCTTTTCTGTTGACTCAAGGGAAGTTCCTTTCTTCAGTTCCTTGGCTATCTTTATATGGGATATGTAGAGGGCTCAAAAAATTCATGGAAAAACTCCATTATCTTTTCCATTTTCCAAGGAACGGTTTGAAGCCTGTCATACCTCCCCCTCTTTAGAAACTTTCTTCTGTGCCTAATCTATTTTTATATCTCAATTCCCAAATGGGATTATATTTATAGGTATAGGAGTTTGGGGTTTACAGTGTGTATTTGGGGCAGACGGGTGGGACATAATTGAAACCTTAATAAGTAGGCTTGCTGCTTCCCAGAAAAGAAGACTTGATTGCAATATGTATCAATTAACTTGCCAGATAAGAAACTGCTCTAAAATGAGTGGTCTGAAGCAGCAGTTAATTAATTATTATCTATCTGTAGAACTCTGGGTCAGCTGATCTAGGTCAGGCTGACTGGGTAGCTTTGTTGTAAACTGTGACTGGCCTTGTGTGGGTTGGGTTCCGTTCCAACTTCATGTTAATTCTGTCTGTGTTTACTCTATCTCAAGCAGCTCTTAGGATGATAGCAGAGATACAAGAAAGCAAGCCGAATTTCTTTGACAAAGCAAGTTAGGTTGCCAAGTATGTCCGAGTTAATTCTATCTACTGTGAATGAAGCCAAATTAAAGCATGTGGCCAAGGCAATACAATATTAGCCAGGAAGAAAAGTATCCTCTTTCTATGGAGGTAGCGTAGAAGGTAATGATTGTTTTAAAGCAATCACATGGTAACAAAAGATCTGTTGGCCATATTGCAGTTTTATATGTAGTTGTGAAAAATCATCACTAAGCTGTTTATTTACATTGTCTAGGTTATCTTTTTTTTTTTAAATCATTTTATTGGGTGCTTGTACAACTCTTTTCACAATCCATACATCCATTGTGTCAAGCAAGGTTATCTCAATGTATCATGTAATTTAAAGTAATATTCTTTTTTTGTGCTCTGTATTCAGTAGATTGTTTTACTCTAGCTGTACAATTTTCTTTCTTTCTTTTTTAAGATCCTTTCCCAAACCTAGGAAGCAAATTCATCAGCAGTGTCATCATTCAAGTTAAAGAAAAAGGTGATATGAGGTCTCTATTTCAGTAAGGTAAGTGAAAGTGACATATTTTTAGTGCCTTCCAAAATGTTTAGTCAATATGCCAAATACTCTGAATACTTTCAGTGAAGTAAAACTTTTACTTTAAATTTCTTGACAATATATATGTGTCTACATAATAAACCTTTCCACTCACAGGGAAAGTTCTACCTTGTCCTGTAGGGTCTCTATGAGTTGGCATCGAATCAATGACAGTTGTATTTTATGACCTCATACAAAAAAGACAAAAGCAATCTAATGAATCCAGGACAGATAAACCCCTCAGGACCAAATAATGAGAGTGGTGATACCAGGAGGGTGGAGGTAAGATAGGGTTGAAAGGGGGAACCGATCATAAGGATCTATATATAACCCCCTCCCTGGGGAATGGACAACAGAAAAATGGGTGGAGGGAGATATTGGACAGTGTAACACATGACAAAATAATAATTTATAAATGATCAAGTGTTTGGGAGGGAGGAGGAAAATGAGCTGATACCAAGGGTTCAAGTAGAAAGAAGGTGTTTTGAGAATGATGATGGCAACAAAAGTACAAATGTGCTTGACACGATGGATGTATGGATTGTGGTAAGAGCTGTATGATCCCCCAATAAAATTATTAAAGAAAAAAAAAAGCAATCCAATGTATGGAGATCAGTTTGTTTGTGGTTGGCAGCAGTGAAAGGGATTAAGGGAGGACCTACTGCTATGGAGTACTGAGTTTTAGTTTATTGGTGTGTGGTTAGGTGCCATGGATTTGCTTCTGACTCATAGGGACCCTGTGTACAACAGAATGAAACACTGTCCAGCCCTGTACCACCCTTAGGATTGTTTTTATGTTTGAACCCATTGTTGCAACCACTCTGTCAATCAAAATTGTCCGAGGGCCTTTTTCTTTTCGGTTGCTCCAATACTTTACCAAGCATGATGGATGCCCTTCTCCAGGAACTGGTCTCTCCCAACAACATGTCCAAAGTATGTGAGACAAAGTCTCACCATCCTTGTCTCTAAGGAACATTCTGGCTATACTTTTTCCAAGACATTCTTTTGGCAGTGTATGGCACTTTTAATATTCTTGGCAGCACTGTAATTCAGTTTGTGATGATGGGAAAATCATGTTGGTTAAGGCTAGGGTTGCTGTACACCTATACAAAGTTGAAATGATTTGGTGCCTTGGTTTGGAAGTTTAGGGTCATGGTTTCATGGGACACACCAGTTAATTAAACTAATAATATGTTCGGTGTTTATTTATTTATTAATCATTTTATATGCAACTCATCACAATCTATACATCCATCCATTGTGTCAAGTACATTGATACATTTGTTGCTGTCATCTTTGTCAAAACTTTTTTTCTTGAGTCTTTGGTATCACCTTCTCATTTTTTTCCCCTCCCTGCCCCACCCTCCCTTCCTCATGAACCCTTGATAATTTATAAATTATTATTTTTTCACGTGTGTTTGTGTTTTGTCTCTTAGATTGTTGTGTAGTGCATGAGGTCCTAAAAATCTGAAAGTGGCTGTCTAATGTAAAGCTTCTTAAACTGGGTTATAACACCATATGGAATCATGTAACTGAATATGGAGGTTGTGAAAGATTTGACAACAATAAAAGATTCTGAACTCCTAACAACCAAAAATTAGTTCAAAATCAAATGCTTAACGAATCCAGGGTGTTTTTGACAATGCTTAAAGGGAACCACGAATAGAAAAGTTTAAGAAGCTCTGATTTGAGACATAGTAATTGGTCTTTATTTGCTTGGCGCAAAAGAGGAAGACCGGAAGGTGAAGAGTCTAAACTACAAGGAGAAGGAAATGGATGTGTGGCTAGTGGGTCTACATGTACAGATGCCTCATTCACCAGGAAACTAGCAGAACGGAATGATTCCCAGTTATCATTGCCAAATATTTTGATCAAAGATTTATAGAGGAATCCTGATCAAAAGGGGGAAATAGGAGAAGAGAATTTGAGATTCATCTGGACTCTTACGCTTCATAGAGGCTGGATGAATTCCTGAAATTTTTAGCCTGAGATAATCTTTAGACCTTATGCCAAAAATATACCCATAAATCTTAAAATCAAACAATAGTTTAGCTTAACTAGTGAGGAATTTTTGCCTTGAACATTTTGCTCCTTTAGGATTTATCTATATGGAATCAAATTGACAACTTGGAAGATTCAGAACCTGAGTGGGCAGTTAGTTTGTGTTAATGAGGGAGAAACCACTCAGAAAAGGAGGATGAGAATAGAGAACTCAGTAAGAATAGTATGTGTAGAAACTGTTGAATTAGTTGGTATATGTTTGTGTATTTTCCAACAGCAGCAAAATAGAAAGTTATTTTTTAAAAAGTAAGCTTTCCTCACACTCCTGACACTTGTTTCTATTGTTTTTTGAAAATCACTACTATCATTATTTCTTGTGCATCCTTTTAACTCTGTTATGCACAAAAGACCTCATTTCTATACATATCTTTCTCTCACCCTTCTTTTCTACATAAATGGAAGCATGCTGTGTACCGTTCTTATTTTGTTTATTTAACAATATTTGTCTGTTGGTGTCTATATTGGTGTTTCCCAAGGTGGAGAGTCCTCTAGCTGTGAGGTACTGGAAGCACCCAGGGGGGTTACAAATGCATACATCTCCACTTTGTCCTGGATTATGGACTACATGTATCTATATAGTGCAAAGTAATTTTCTGAAAAGTTGGTGGTAGATTAAATAAGGTTGGGGAACCTATAGTCTGCATCAATACATGCAGCTCAAAAAAATTTTTTTTTCTTTTATAGGTAAAATTGCATTTTCAGGAAAGGTTGCATAGCAAGTTAGGTTCCCAATTTACAATTTCTACACAAATTGTTGAGTGAAATTAGCAACATTTTTCATGATGGGTCAAGATTTTATTTATTTGACTTTTGACTGTTTTTTTTCTGGTACTGTACTTTCTTGGCCCTTTTATCATTTCATCTTTGCTTCGATCTTTAGGTCTCATATAAACGGTTATGAAGCACCTTATTCATGTATAATATCCTTTGAGTATCCATCTGCTATTTCAGTAAAAGGTGATTTGGGGACAGTTTTGATTTAAGATCTAATGAGTATTTCAGCACAGTAGTCTTAAAAGAACCCTGTAGATTCAACTGGTCCTATAAGTCTGGCTTTTTAAGAGTTCTTTTTAAGAGTTCTGTTCTGGGTTTTTCTCTTAATCAATCAGAATCCATCTCTGTGATCCTGATCAGAAACAGTTGGTAGTGGTAATTGAGCACTAGCTAGTTCATCAGGTTATAGCTTTATTGTTTTCACAGCTTTTTTGAAGAATAATTTATGTATGATAAAATATATCATAAATATATAATTTAGTGGGTTTTCACAAATGTATATACCCATGAAAATTTTTGGCATCTCTCAAATTCCATCTCTTTCTCCACTGTGTCCTAGGTAATGACTGATCTGCTTTCCATTACTGTAGATTTGTTTGCTTTTTCTAGAATTTCACAAAAAATGGCATTATACGGTATTGCAAAAAATAATTTATTTTAGAAAGAGTGGCCCCAACAGACTGACTCCGTGGGAACCATGGACCTGTACGCACTGCTAGGGATTGAAGAGAAGGCGGCAGACAAAGAGGTGAAGAAGGCGTACAGGCAGAAGGCCCTCTCCTGCCACCCCGACAAAAATCCGGATAATCCCCACGCGGCTGAACTCTTTCACCAGCTCTCTCAGGCCCTGGAAGTGCTGACCGATGTTGCAGCCAGGGCTGCCTATGACAAGGTCCGGAAGGCCAAGAAGCAGGCAGCAGAGAGGACCGAGAAACTCGATGAGAGGAGGAAGAAGGTGAAGCTGGACCTGGAGGCCCGGGAGCGGGAGGCCCAGGCCCACGGCAGTGAGGAGGAGGAGAAGCGTAGCACCCGCACGCTGGAGCAAGAGATAGAATGCCTACGAGAAGAGGGTTCCCGGCAGCTGGAGGAACAGCGGAAGCTGATCCAGGAGCAGATACGGCAGGAACGGGAGCAGAGGTGGAGAGGAAAAGCAGAGCATACCGAAGGCACAGGAACCCCCAAACTCAAGCTGAAGTGGAAGTGCAAGAAGGAAGACGAGGCCCGAGGCGTCTACTCCAAAGACGTTCTCCGGCGGCTCTTCCAGAAGTACGGTGAGGTGCTCAACCTGGTGCTCTCCAGGAAGAAACCTGGCGCAGCGGTGGTGGAGTTTGCAGCGGTCAGAGCTGCGGAGCTGGCTGTCCAGAATGAGGTGGGGCTGGTTGATAATCCCCTGAAGATTTCCTGGTTGGAAGGACGGCCCAAGGGCACAGGAGGCTGCAGCCATCCAGGACTGTCACAGGGCTCAGTGCTGTCTTGAGCAGGACTTTGAGAGCTTGGTCATGATGCGCATGCGCCAGGCAGCTGAGCAGCAGCAGCTGATTGCCCAGATGCAGCAAGAGCTTAAGGAGGGGCCGCCCACGTAACCCCAGGCGCCAGCCCCTACCACAATACAGCCCTTTTCTTCAACATCACCAGTAAACTTTTTTTTTAAAGAGAAAAGAAGAAAGACTGGCCCCAGTGAGGTGGAGATTAAAAATATCCCTAATTGTCTTCATTATCCCTGATACCAACTACCACGGTGTAGTTCCTCATGTCCCAGGGTTCTGCAATTCACTGTGGAAGTTTAAGTTGTAAAATTCAGACTCCTCTTTGGAGGATTCTCCTCATTCACACCAAATCAATGCTGTTGATTTACAAAGCTCTGGAAATTAGTAAATCAGGTCAGGTGGAGGCAAGTCACATGCAGGTTCCAGACCAAGAGAGCAAACTTTGTTTACGCAACTCAGTCCAAAAACCAAATTCACTGCCATCGAATTGATGCAGACTCAGCATCCTTTTAGGACAGGATAAGTCTACTCCTTTGAGTTTCTGAGACTACGGATTTTTTCCCCCAAAGTTATGTATTTAAATTTTTTTATAAAACAAGCGTATCACCATCAGTACTTTCCATTACTCTTAATACATTTGTCAAATCAGCAATTCCATTCTTGGAAACATTTTTCAAACTCATGTTTGGGTGCCTAACAGCACCTCCCTCTTTTTTTTCTTCAGCTATTTTGTATCATCAAATTTGCTGCCCTTTTATGTCACTCTTTATTCGCTGAAACAAAAAGAAGTTGCATGGAGTCAGGTCAGGTGTGTGGGGCAAAAGAGGCATGCTGTTTGTTGTCAAAACTGGCACACTGAGATGGCTGTGTGAGCAAGTGCATTGTCGTGGCAAAACCAGTCTGCCATAAATCAGGTCTTTTTTTGTTGCACACTGTTAAACTATATTTTCAGAACCTCTAAATAGAAAGCTTGATTAACAGTCTGACCTGGTGGAACAAACTCCAAATGCATACTAGGAGTTGACATTTCTCTCTTCGGGAAGTTGATGGACATCAGAATGAAGTTTGTCATCATTCGACATTTCACCTTTTTTGAAACGAGAAAACCACTCATATACTTGAATTTTTCTCATAGCGCTGGCCTTGTAAGCTGTGTTCAACATCACAGCAGTTTAAATGCCAATCAGGCAACAAAATTTCACAGCTGCACACTGTTCTCTTAAATCAACCATCACAAAAAGCGAGGTTTGAACAAAACTGTTGGTATGAAAAAATTCACTGACCAGAGAGAGCCTTCCCAGGTGACGCCACTAGGTGTACTAACTCAGAGCAAGTTGCTTGATGCTTGCCTAGCTGGAAAAAATGCATTCTATGAAAGCTCTGCTTCGCCTAGCGTAATTACTTCTTTTGGGGGTACCCCTTCATATAATAAGGGTTCCTGGGAAGCAGGGTGGAGGAGGGAGGAGATAAAGAGGAGCTGATATCAAAGAGTTCAAGAATAATGAAAGTGCTTCAAAACTGATTGTGGTAACAATTGTACAATTATGCTTGATCTAATTGAATTATAGAATGTTATAGTATCTAAGAGCTCCCAATAAAATGACAAATTAAAAAATACTTTCTAAATATAATGGAAGACTTCTGTGTTGCATAATTAAGAATTAATAATTACTTTTGGTTTGTACATTCTGAAAGTTGGTAATATTTGAAAATATCCTTAGTCCATCAACTGCCATCTCATTCCTTTGGTTGATGTGTAGAAAATCAGTAGCAATCCTTTTTTGAATTTTTTTTTTCCATCTGAACCCCTAAAAATGCTAATCTTAAGGAACTTGTGCGTAGACTGGGGCTATCGTTGCAGGGAGTGTTTTTCAACAGTAAGTCATGTATTCTTGCTTATCAACTCTTCTGTTGTCAATATTATCCTGCTACCCTCAGCTGTGCCTACTGAGTTCCTAGACCAAAGACCTTTCTGTTGGAAACTTGCCACACATACTTAAGCCTCCACTCTTAATGAGTTTGTTTGGTTGATTGTAGTTTGAATGGAAGCCTGAGAATATGGGCTGTTTTTCAGTCCTGTTTTTATCCTCAGCTCCCCTGGTATTGTCAATTCCTGACTTCTGGGTGAAGGAGCCCTGGTGGAGTAATGATTTCACATCTTTCTGCAAACCTCAAAGTCAGCAGTTTGAAACCACCAGCAGTTCTGTGGGAAAAACATGAGGCTTTCTACTCTCATAAAGATGTACAGTCCCAGAAACCCACAGAGGCAGTTCTCCTCTGTCCTGTAGGGTTGCTGTGAGTTGGCATGGACTTGTTGGCAGCGAGTTGGGGTTTTTTGGTGAGGGTGGGGCTCTGTTGTTTAAATGGAGCTTCTGTTAGGCTTTTCTTGTTTACAGTTTAGGATTCAGATTTTCTTGGTCTTTTATTGGTCCTTCTTTGTAGCTTCTATTTCTTTTCTTTTTTCCTATCTACTTTTTCTTTGCCATTTGGATTTATAGTTTTATTTACCTCTATTTTTAATGGCTTTTGGGAGGCAGTAGAGATAAATATGTGTTTTAAACCTCTTATCTGGTATCTGTTTTTTTCTACTTATTTATCTATGTGTGTACTCTTTCCTTATAATATATTATTGTGCCAAGATTAACCAATATGAACCAAGTTCAGATTCTGAGCTTTAAAAATATTTAATAAATTTAATAATAACAAATTGGGTGTATGTTATTCTATTGAGCCATGCACCATAGTTTATGTCAGCTTAGCCCTATAACGCCTCAATTTTTAATTTCAGGGAAAAAATTTTTTTGTTTTTATTCTTTACTTTTATAGTTATCAATATATATATAACAACTGAAATATATTAAAAAATATAAAATTTGCAATGTTTTTTAAATGTAACCAAATCATCACATTTGTCCATGGATTTATAATACAAGAATAAAAAATGCACCTTCATTTCTTTATTATTTTCATCTTATTTTATTATTAAATAAAAACACTGAAAACTTATTTTATTTATAAAATATAATACAACATTTATTTGTTTATAATTTTAGTTAGTAACTGAACAAAACAATTTTTTTTCTATTGTGATACAAAGATGAACTTTGCATTTGCTGCAGAAAAATACTGGTGCACTCTTGCAATTTACATTTTTGCATCTTCCTCTGTGACGTCAGGTAATGGTGAAATAGTTTGAATAGCAATATAATTAAAATTTTATAGTGTAAAATCAAAAAATTTAAATATAATACACATTTACCAATTTCATCCATATTAGCATCTGGTTCCTTGTCTGAGTCTGTACCGTTTCCATCTAGGTCATAAATTCGCCGTTTTCTGTAAAACAAATCACAATCCATGCTGTGGTAATTTTTGTCACCGTCGATTCAAAAGATGAACACAAGTTCATTACATTTTGAAAAAGCTGAACTATATAATAAGTATAATGTTTTTTTAATGAGTATTACACCTTTGACATAAAAACTACAGTTTTATGAACATATACAAAAAATATCAACACTAAAACTTCACCAGATTGGAAATTATCATAAAATGCACTGAATGCCAACAATCTCTTAACCTCAAACGCACAATCAGTCAAACCATGTGCCACTATTCAAGCATTTTGCCGCTAAAATGCATGACTAGCGGTATGCATTTGTACTAGTAAAACGGGACGAGTTCGTTGACATTGTCGTTGGTTCCAAAAGCTTTATAATTTCGGTACCAGATACGTTTTAATTAAAGGTTATGAAAACGTCACGCTCGGCGTTATAGGATTAGAATTACTAAAATTAAGCGGTATGTATAAGGTGATGACTGAGGAAAATAAGAGCAGCATAGAATTATGGAGTGCTGTATTTGGTGATGGCACAAGACCAGATTGCTTATCATGCGGTCTGCATATGGGGTCACCATGAACTTAGAGGCAACTTAATGGTAACTAAGAACTAACAACCTATTTGGTGAGCATTGAGTGAATAATTAAATATTTACTCCTTAAATTTTGTTTAAACATATAAACCATACTTCATCTCTCTTTTAGGTGCTATGTAATGTGTTAAGAATATATTATAAGGAATGATCTTGTCAAGTTTCCATGAGTTATGGTGTCTGAAACATCAGTTTTATCTTGTGGGAACAAAACTGTAAGTAAACCTCAAGAAGTAAACATATTCCATTATTCTATGCTTTCATAAAATAAATTATTGATTACTTATAAGAATGCAGTTAGCATAATTCATTCTTCTGACTTTTTAAGTATACAGATTACATTATTGGAAAGGAGTGATTAGATTTTATTGAAATCAAGATTATTTCTTTATAGTATTATATAATGGATTGTACAAAATTTAATTTTTATCTTTTAATTTTCAGAAACAGCACAAAAGAAAATGTATATTAGCCGAGTGTTTTATTACACGAAAAAGGTTAGATAAGAGCTTCAAGTCAACAGATTCAGCAAACAAAAGAAACGTGTGTGGTGTAAGACATGTTTCAAATGAATCAAAGTACAGTAACTATAGAGTCCAGGAGGAAAATGTTTTCAAAAATTTTGTCAAAACAGATCAGTCAGTAGTAAACAACTCCTTCAGTAATAAGACGAGAGCTGAAACCAAAATCAATTGAAAACAAAGCAGATTGAACCTAAATTCATAATTTTAAATAGAAACTTACAAAAATTCAAATTAGAATAAAATTTCTCCAAATTTCCATTGCCTTGTCCAAAGCAAAACAAGTATCTTGTGGCATTTGTACTAGCTTTTCTTATGCTTTAGAAATGGCAGAAACCTTACTCGATGCAAACAGGTATTTCTGTTGAAAATGCACAACAGCATCAGTTAAAGCCAGAGTTTAAAGACTGCTCCTTTCAAATAACACTAGACATTCAGTGTTTGCTCCTACCGAGACACGAGCCCCCCTAAAATCTACTCAGATAAGGAGAGTTTTACTCAGGAATGATGTCCATTCAGCAGAAATCAAAAGAAAATTCCTCTAAAGTTATTAAGAAAAGTGAAGATAAGAATTTAGAAACCCAAATTCATGGTTCTCAAAAGAATGTAGCCAAACAATCACTGGTTAAATCTTCCAGTGAAGCTAAAGTAAACCAGCCTAAAGTGGGACCACGCATGAATACAAGATCAGCAAAGGCAGCATCCAATGGTAAAAAAGCTACTAACTCTGGTGATAAAAATATGGTCAGTATGAAAGGACATTCACAGGAATCTGCAAAAAAGAAGAAAGTGTGTCCAAAAAAATCAGTGCATGAAACCTTGAAATCAAATGAACAGTTAAACCGGAGATCACAGAGACTACAACAATTAGCAGAAGTTTCAACAAGGTCTTTGCGCAGTAGAGCAATTCAGGGTCAAGTTCAAGCAGTTAAACGGAGTTTGCCACCACCAAGAAAAGGGCACTGTAGCAACACTCAAAGTAAATCTAATAAAGTTAGAATAAGTCAAAAACATGTGAAAAGAAAAGAACTGGAAATAAGATCAGACTCTAAAGACGAAAATTCTGTGATTAATGAAGTAGTTAATTCTCCTAAAGGAAAAAAACGCAAAATAGAGCCCCAGACAGCTAGCACTAGTAATTCTCAGTGTGTTCAAGGATCTGAGAAGTGTCTTCAGAAGACTACTGGGAAAGAGGACACAAAGCTTGTGCCTGTAACTTCTGAGGTAAAAGGATCAAAAATGACAACTTCACTGGTCTCTAAAAAAAAGGAGCAAATGAAGAAGTCAGTTCACATACAAGTAAATGTTAGTGCAAAATCTCCCCAAAGTTCACAGCCATCAGTGCCTGAACAGAGTATAGATAATGAGCTAGAACAAGCAGGAAAGAACAAACGAGGTAGCATTCTCCAGCTCTGTGAAGAAATTGCTGGTGAAATTGAATCAGATACTGTAGAAGTAAAAAGGGAATCTTCACAAATGGAATGTGCAAAAGAGAAGCCTACAGAAATTAAATTGGAAGAGAGTAATGTTGAAAGACAAATACTTCACCAGAAGGAAACAAATCAAGATATTCAATGTAATCGTTTTTTCCCCAGTAGAAAAACAAAGCCTGTAAAGTGTATACTAAATGGAATAAATAACTCAACTAAGAAGAACTCCAACTGGACTAAAATTAAATTCTCAAAATTTAACTCTCTGCAGCAAAGTAAGTTGGACCCTCAAGTTTCTTCTAAATTGGGCTCATTACAAACCAGTTTCTCATCACCAACTCTAGAAATACATCATCCGGTGACACAAAATACACTTTTAGGGACAAAACCACATAATGGTAAAAACCAGCAGGAAAAATTGAAAGAAATTAATTCTGAAGAACTTAAAAGTTACAGTGTAGGGGAAACTAATAGAACTACAGAAAATCTTTCTAAAAATTGTCATTTGGATAATCAGATAAAATCACCTACTGAATCACAGATAAAACCTCCTCCTGACTCACCATTATTGGATAATCAGATGAAACCATTTATTACATCAACACCAGATAAGGTAAGCCATTTTTGTTATGCTTAGTAAAGGTGCCTGTATACTTTGTTGTAAGAAAAAAAATAAGTGTTTTCAGCATATTTTAGCTTAAGAATTAAGGCATAAAAGACTAGAGAGCCATTTTTTCCCCAGTCATTTTACTGGGGAGGGGGGGTGTCTTACAGCTGCTAATAACAATTCATACATCAATTGTATCAAGCACATTCGTACATATGTTGCCATCATTTTCAAAACATTTTCTTTCTACTTCAGCCTTTGGTATCAGCTCCCCCCCCATGACCTCTTGATAAATTATAAATTATTATTTTAATATCTTACATCATCCGCTGTCTCCCTTCACCCATGTTTCTGTTGTTCATCCTTCTAGGGGCGAGAGGTTAACTTAGATCATTGTGATTGGTTCCCCCTTTCTCCTCTTTCTACCCCCACCTTCTCCCTCCTACCCTCATGGTATCATTACACCCATTATTGTTCCTGAGGGATTTATCTGTCCTAGGTACATGTGTTGAGAACTCTTATCTGTACCAGTATACATGCTCTGGTCTAGCCAGCTCTGTAAGATAGTACTGGGTCATGATAGTGGGGGGATGGGGGAAGCATTAAAGAACTAGAGGAATTTAAAAAAAAACCAACTAGAGGAATGTTGTGTGTGCTAGACTGCACCGTGGCTGACTTGTCTCTTCCTGTGACCCTTCTTTGAGGGGATGTACAGTTGTCTGCACAGGAGCTTTGGGTCTCTACTTCGACCCCCCTCATTCTTATTGATATGATTGTTTTGGGCCTTCCTATGCCTGATACCTGATCCTGTGGATACCTTGTGATCACACAGTCTGGTGTGCTTATTCCATGTGGATTTTGTTGCTTCCCTGCTAGATGGCTACTTGTTTAACTTCAAGCCTTTAAGACCTCAGGCGCTATATCTTGTAATAGCCGGGCACCAGCAGCTTTCTTTGCCACATTTGCTTATGTACCCATTTTTTACCTTAGTGATCATGTCAGGAAGGCAAGCATCACAGAGTGCCAGATTATTACAACAAAGTGTTTTTGCACTGAGGGAGGACTTGAATACATGCCTATATTTACACCTCTATAAATGTTTTTTGCCTCCTAGTTCTTTCCTCTATTTCCTTTTCATTTCCTCCTGTCCCATTATCATGTTTGACCTCCATTTGACTCTCAGTAATTCTTCTCAAGTACACTGCCCTTGATCCAACCCCTCCAGGCAGTCTATACCCTCCTCACCATCGGTGGTAGATCTCTTATTGTTCCCTTGTCCCTGGGTTTCTTTGCTCCCCTTCTCTTTCCCCCACCTCACCCTCTCTCCTGTCTGTCAGTCCTGTTGTTTTCTCTTCAGGATTGTTTATCTTAACTATCTTATATAGAGGACATGATAAAAAGTAAGAAGAACAAGGGAAAAAAAGGACTTGTAAATAGTTCTGTCTGCTGACCCTCACGTACACTTTCCAATCTAGTTTGTTGAGATGCCAAGCCCTGCCCACTTGAGTCTGAAGTTTATTTTCAGGATTCCTTAGGGACTTCGTTGCTTTGCTCCCCTTGCTCTGTTGCGCTCCCTTCGTGTTTTGCCCTTAGTGTGGGAGGGTCAGACTGGGCACAATGCCCACACTCTGTGTCTCCAGTGCTGCAGCAGTGTGGGGTTCAGTGAGGGGACGTTGTGTCTTGTGCTGGGGCCGGCTCTACAGTCCTCCTCTCCGTGCCTTGGCTGTTGTCCTCGGGGCTTGCTGGGCCAGGATGCAGTCCTCTCTCTCTCTCTCTCTCTCTCCCTCTTAGTTTGCTCCTGTGACCCACCTCTCTCCCTGGGCTGTATCTTCAGTGCTGTCCTCTGTAATGCAATCTTTTGGGGAGGGAGTCAATATAGCTGGAATCGGGGTTGGCCCCACAGAACTTAGAGAATCATTGTTAAGGTATCCTATTAAGTTATAAGAGATTTTTTTGGTGTTCTTACTTATTTGGACCTAATCACAAGGTTATAGTTGTCTCTTATTAATAAGAATCCACCTCACTGTTTCTCTTTTTAACATTTTCATTTTATATAAAACAAATCTATTGAATTCTAGCTTTTCTTTTTAATTTAACACACTATCTTATTTTCTTTTTCTACTAATTATAACCACAGAAAAAATTTTTCACAGGGATTAAACTTAAAATTAAGTCCAATTCTAAGACTTAGAATGAATTTCAACTTGGGCAAATCAACTCCTCCCCGACCCTTTAAAATTTATGTATTTAAGTGTTTTTACAAAACAACCTATCACCTTGAAATACTATACTCTCCATTACACTTCCTGCATTTGTCAAATCTGCAATTCCATTCATGGAAATATTTTTCAAACTCATCTGTTTGGATGGCTGACAGCACTTCCCTCGTTTTTTCCTTCACCTCTTCTATGTCATCAAATTTCTATCCTTTGATGGCTCTCTTCATTCACAGAAACAAAAAGAATTCTCACGGAGCGAGGTCAGGTGAGTAAGGTGCGTGGGGCAAGAGAGACATGCTGTTTTTTGCCAAACTGGCACACTGGGATAGCTGTGTGAGCAGGTGCATTGTCTTGGTGGCAAAACCAGTCCCCCATCTGCCTCAAATCAGGCACCATTGCACATCTTTTCAGAATTTGTAAATAAAAAGCTTGATTAACAGTCTGACCTGGTGGCGTGAACTCCAAATGCACTATCCCCCTCACATCAAAAAGCAAATGAGCATCATCTTGTTCTTTGAAGAGCTATTTTGGGGTGAGGTGATGATGGCGCGTTCCACTGGCTAGATGTTTGCTTTTGGTAAGAAGACCACGTCTCATCACCTGTAATGACCTTGCCAAAAAAGTCTGGGTCGCTTAGGAGCTGTTCTTTAAGAATACGTCAGGTTTCCAGTTGACACACGTTTTCCTGGTCAGCCAGAATCTGAGGCACAAATTTCACAGTGACCCCTCTCATTCCCAAATCTAATTTGCTGGACCAAGTTCTAAGATAGCCCGGATAACTTCCCCATTTCTTCAATGGTCCATCTTTAGTCTTCAATCACAAGTGCACAAGTTTTGTTTATATTTTTGTCCATTTGGGAAGTTGATGGATATCCAGAACGAGGTTTGTCATTAGTTGATATTTCACCTTTTTTAAAATGAGGAAAACACTCATACACTAGAGTTTTTCCTATGGCACTGTCCTTGTAAGCTGTATTCAACATCACAACTGTTTCTGTGGCATTTTTCCCAAGCAGGAAACAAAATTTCACAGCCACATGTTGTTCTCTTAAATTAGACATTACAAAAAATGAGGTTTGAGCGAAACTGCTTTCACGAAAAAATTCACTAACCAGAGCGAACTTTCTCAGGTGGCGCCACTGGGTGTACTAATCTAGAACAAGTTGCTCCATGCTTGCCCAACGGGAAAAATACATACCATGGAAGCTTGCCCAGCAGCACTTTTCTGGGTCTTTTTTTGTTATCCTTTTGTACATTTTAAGACTGTTGTTTATGCTCTTTATCAGTAAGTGCTTTAAAAAGCACAAATGGAATTAGAATGTAAGTATTATGGTTCTCAGCCCAGCATTCTTTGCCTCATGATGTGCTCTGACCACTTATATTCAAGGATCCTTTTATACAATATTATTATGAATAGAGGGAAATAAATCAAGTTACCCAGAGCTTTGGAAGTAATTTAAAATTTTCTTTAGCATTGGTGTAGGACTAAATTGGCTTCATGCCAAAGCCATGACAATTATCAGTGTCTATTATACTCATATGCTAAAAATTAAAGTGACCTTAAAAGGAACCGGCACCGTACGACGAAGGGGCCTCAAAAAGCTTGTGGGACAGTTCCATTACCTTTCAATTCCATTTTCCCATGAGCCTTTTGCCAGTTTCCTTGCATAGACCTCTTAGATTATGTTTTCTATACAAATGAGAATGAAAGTATAGTTAGACCATTATTATCCATAGATTTTACCAAATAGACAGTAGCAGCAATTAGAACTCAGTAGTGAGGGGTAGGTTAGTATGAGGGCATTTCAAAAAAATTGTGGAAAAATTCCATTTTCTTTAAAATACACTATTTTTCACATTTCATTGTGAATTAGGTGTAACTTTGTACATTGAGGTGATTACAATGGATGAGTTGAAGTGTTTTACAGTCAATGTGTCATACAGATTTTGTTTCGTCCATTGCAATCAATGTACCCTCACTTAGCCCAGTTCTTTACAGGGTTTCTTGTTTTCATTGCTCCTCTGAACTTTGTCCTTGGGTAAGTGCTGACTTACCCATTGATCTTAAATGGGAGATTAACCTAATATGTGGATGAGTTCATTTCCAAACTGAAGTCCTAACTCTGATAAATTAATTCTGTTTTTCCAGGAAATCTTTGAAGTCACTTTGTTTGAGTAAGAAGGCTCCTAGTGGAGATGGGATGGCTGTGTGTTAAAGTTAAATCATTGCCAGGAAATTGATAGTAACACTCTAAGGACATGTTAGAAATAATATGTTTTAATTCTCTGTTGCATAAGTGCTGTATAAATGTCTCTAGAAAGGCAGTCATATAATGAAGACTATATTGAAATACAAATTTTAAATTCCTTTGGCCTAAAGTTTCAACTTCACAACAGTGGGTTAAAGTATATCAAGATAAAATCTAAAAAAGTGAGCTGATACCAAGGGCTCAAGTAGAAAGCAAATGTTTTGAGAATGATGATGGATGGCAACAGTACAAATGTGCTTGACCTAATGGATGTGTGTATGGATTGTCGTAAGAGTTCTGTGAGCCTCCAATAAAATGATTTAAAAAGAAAAGAAAAAGATAAAATCTATTGCCATCAAATCAATCCTGACCTATAGTGTCCCCATAGGACAGAGTAAATCGCCTCTGTGGGGTATCAGAGCATCATCTTTACCGAAATAGACTACTACATTTTTCTCACTCAGGGTGGGATGGTTTCGAACCACTGACCTTTCAGTTAGCAGCCAGCCTTTGCATATAGAGATGCTTTATTAGGTAGCACACGTTATTTTGCTTTTTTTTTTTTTTTATAACCCAGCTTTTTCAAAATGTGTTTTGAATTTATGTATTCTGCTTGAACACTAAGAAATCAAACAAACTCACTGCCATTGAATCACTGCTGATTCATAGCAGCCTTCTATTGGCTTCTGAGACTGTAACTGTTTACGGGAGTAGAAAGCAGTCTTTCTCCTAAGAAGCTGCTGTTGGTTTCAAACTGCCAGCCATGGGGATCACAGCCCAATGAGTATCAACTATGCCACTATGTTGGAACTTGTTGCTGTATTAGTAATTTTTCTTCTGGTTTGAAATTCCTGAATATTACAACCATCCAGACTATTACAGAGACTAACACAAACTCATGTATCGGCCTCCTAGATTTGAACAAAACTAAATTTTGTTGAATGATTTTATTATGTTTTTAATTAAATACTTTTTTTCACCTTTATCACTTAATATAATCATTTTTACAAAGTAACTAGGAAATGTGGTGGTAACCATATCAGTTCAAGACACATTCGGGTGCCTGCTTTACCGACAACACTGTTTTAAGTTACAGAAGATACATGTCTCGAGCCTTTAAGTAATGTATATCATATTAGCCACAGATGTCTCTTTATTCCATAATCACTAAGAAGTGAATAAGTATCTCATCTTAGTCATCACAAGAAGTCATGTTTAATGAACACTGCCTCTCTGTTAAACAAAGCAGAGATATATATAATTCTCATAATACACATTATATAGGTTCTTTTGTAATCCACATATTTTATATGAGAAAAGTTAAACTTAGAGATATAAGTAACTGTCTGAGTGATTAGTAAGTGATGGAGCCAGAATATATGGTGAAGCACCTTCAGAGCCCAGCAGAGTCATAACTTATGGGAAGTCATAACTGTCATTTTGCTACTGTTAGGAATCAGGCGGCCCCTGTGAAAGGGTCGTTTGATCTCCAAAGGGGTTGTAATTCACAGGTTGAGAACCGCTGGTCTAGATGAAGAAAGCCAGTGAGACCCAGATTTGTATATGAAAGAACTTTATATCAAGAAAATATAAGAAACAACTTGGTATATCAAGAAAGTGTCCTACCCCGTCCAACACAAATTCGTGGGTCCAATACTAGCTGCAGCTCTCTTCAGACTCACATAGCTACAGGCTGATGAAGCAGAAGAAGGGAGCTGGGAGAACACAGGCAGGTGGTTGCAGAGTATCATGGACCCAAAGTTCCACGTGACAAGGTATAGACGGGGCTGCCCCTAGAGGCAGACATGGAATCTGAGCAGCAGAGAGGATGAATGGCAAGAGAAAGAGAAGTGCTCACCATGTCATTCATAAACCTCCCCAGGAGGAATCACTACGTTACCACCTAATTGACAGGTTGATTCTACCCCTACCTCCACACACATATAACCAAGTTGCCAAACATGACCACTGTTTGTTTAGGTGGTGATAGGTGGAGAATACAAAAATGAATTCAGCCTGGTCATTGAGTTTTAAAGAGTTCTAGGATATGAGTCATTATAAATAACTTACTTAAAATAGGACATATGCTGTGGGGTTAAAAAGTAAAGGCAAAAAAAAAAGTAAAGGCAAAGCCTTTTCAACCTGTATTCAACATAAAAATCATTCATGAGACTTTTGTTGCTATTCTACTTAGAAACCTGGTGTGTGTTTTACACTTGAAACAACACTTCTCAATTTGAGTTAACCACACTTTATATACTGAATAGTCACTTGTGGCTACCATATTGGATAGTAGAGGTCTAGAGAGATGAAGGTGAAACATACAGAATCAGATGAATGTGAAATGTATTTGTGGGAGTGGTAAATTTACCATGAGATGGGGGAAAGGAATGATGGAAGCTGACAGGTTGGGTAGCTTGTAGAGAGACGGCTAATGTTTTCATCAATTATTCTGAATATGAAGTTTTCTTAGTGTGCTTAAATTTACTGGAAGTGTATTGGGATAAGATCCAAGGGCCAGTATAAAAGTATTAACAAGAACTATATGTGTTCAGAATTTTAGTTCACCTTTGGAATCCAAGCTTGAAAACACATCAGTGGAAAATACCACTGCTGTTTCAGCTCTGCTTAATCAAGTAAAAATTGATGCAGAAGAGGGTAAGTTTCCAGGTAATATTTTGAAATTTTTATTTGGATTTTACTTTGTGCAGACAAATTTTTCACAGTATAACAAAACTATCTTCTAAATAACCTAATTATTTTTATCATTGCTTGTTTTTCAAATGCCTGTTTTTTGAGAATTTCTGTTGATTGATTTGTTTCAAATATCTCAGTAATGCCCCTTTGTCTTCCTCTAAAAGCTATCTTTATTTTTCTGTAACACTATAAAAACGTGTTACTTAATGAGTTGCTTAAGTTAATGATAGCAGTATTATTTCTCAAGTACAACTGACTGCTTTTATTTTTTAACCTTAACTTTTCAACTTTCAATGATTGTCAGACTTTAAATCTTAAGGATTTAATAAATACTGCAGTTAGCCCACTTATCCCATATAAAAGTTCTTGTATTCTGATGACGAGGAGCCCTGGTGGTATAGTGGTCACAAGCGGGATTGATTTGGGTTGTTAACCACAAGGCGAACGGTTCGAAACTACCAGCTGCTCCATGGAAGAAAGACATGGCTTTCTACTCCCATGAAGAGTTTTAGAAACTCTCAGAGGCAGCCCTATTCTGTCCTAAAGGGCTGATATGAATCTGCATTGACTTGATGGCAATAATTTTGGCTTTAGTTTTATTCTAGTGACATTTTCTTGAAAATAAAGTATTATTTTAACTGCTGGATGGAGATTTAGTCACCAACTGAAGCACAATGGTACACTATAGGAAAGAAATCCTTAATTCCTATGGTTTCTGTTTCTAAAGGAAAGTATTCTTGGAACAAAATTGGTCAGATAATTGCTGCCATTAGGTATCATTTAACCTTTTCTCATAGTTGAGACAAGTGTCACATAAATATGAAAAATATAATTACATACTAGAAAATAAAATAGATTTCATTTTTTAGTGTGGTTAAAACTTCAGACTTTTAAAAAAGAGAAAGGTATGTATTTATTTCCATTTTGAGATTGTATAGTATGTAGGCATTTAAAGAATTTCCTTTGTTCAGTGCTAGGCATTTTTGGTGAAACTAGATATAAATTCATGTTAATCTTTCATTAGATCTCTTTGCAGCTCACAGAAAAGCACATACAGAAAAGCTTTCCTGCTTTCTCTTTGAAGCACAACCTCCTAAGTAGGAGAGCGGTTCCAACTTTATAATGGCCTTTATTAAAAAAAAAACTATGTAGTGGGTTGGGTTTTCCCCCCTTTCTGTATAATTAATTTTTGACCAATATATCAAGAGCAAATATAAAACTTAATACATTATCCACTTTATTGTTTAATTTACAGGCGCATCTCCCAAACAGCACAGTGTGCTCAATAACCAAACAACTAAAAACAGTGATAACAGGTAAGATATTAAATATAAATGTTATCTATGAGCATTTTTGAGTTGGGGGTCCCCCCCCCAAAAGCTATAGTAGTAGCTTATCTAGTAGAAAAAGTTTTCTAGTAGAAAAAGTGATAATCATAATTTTTCATTTCACTCTTGATTTAATTTGAAAATTATGCAGCAGTACACACACATATATATATGCCTTCTTGTGTGACTTTTATCTGTTGAATAAGCTCAGAGCTGTAGGACTAATCCTGCATTGCTGACTCCCCTCTAAAGTGATTGTGCCTGTACCAGTGTTTGAGAATGCTTATTTACCCATCCCTTGGGAATGCTGGGTATTATTAGTATGTAAAGGTATTTTAATGGATTTAAAGCTTTTTGTTTTATCTTTAATGTTAGAGTTAAGTCGTTTTGTTTAGGCATTGTCAATAAACAGTTGATAATGGACAAAGTATAGTAATTCAAATGGTTAAAACTATAAAACTTGCTCAAATAATAGACACTGCCATTTTTTTTGCTTGTAATTTAGTAGTTCTTCTGATTTATTTTTTTCCTCTTAGGTAGTTTTTTCCATTTGGCAAGTGGGACTTGTCAGTACTGTTACAGAAAATAGATTATTTTTAAATTTATAAATTATCAGGGGTTCGCGGGGGCTGGGGGAGGGAGGGGAGAAAATGAGCTGACACCAAGGGCTCAAGTGGAAAGCGAGTGTTGTGAGAATGATGACGTCAACATATGTAGTAATGTCTGGACACAAATGATGTATGTACGGATTGTGATGAGTTGTATGAGCCCCTAATAAAATGATTATTTAATTAAAAAAAAGAAAATAGGTAATTTTGTTTTGTCCAAACATTTGAAGTGATACAGATCTTTTAACATTTAATAAGTTGTTTTGTTTTTATTTTTATTTTTAAGGGAGATGCCACCAAATCATCCTTTGCCTCAGTGTAATTCTCATTTGGAGATCAAAATTCCAAAAGACTTAAAACTAAAAGAAGTAGAGAAGGCTGATGAAAAACAGTTGATCATAGTAAGTATGTAAACTTGATCTACTTCTAAAATCTTGTTGTAAGTATCTTGTTACATGAGGGTTAAGTCAAAAGTATTACTACTAGGGTTCAGTTCATACATGCATGGGCTTCAACAACCAAAAAGAACCCCCAGCAACCTATTTAAGCATATCTCTGTGATCAGTAGATGGCTGCAGACAAATTGTTTCAGTATTACATTTGTCTTAGTCTCCTTAGGGTGCCTTCAAAAGAAAGGTCCGTTTGAAATTGACTTCTGAAAGAATCAGCAGGACTAGTTAAATTCAAGGCAAAGAACTCAGCTGAGAAGGTTACTGTTTTGGTAATCTCAATAGATTTTCTCAGGATGATCATTGAGCCATGTTATGAATCACTTTTAAGGAAATGAAAATTGCATTGGTGAGTAAAAAAGTCACTGTTCTGCAGTTAGTGCTGACTGATAGCAAGCCCTGTGGGTTTCTGAGACTTAACTACCAAGTAGGAAGCCCTGTCTTTGCTGTGGAAGAGCTGCGGCTGCTGGTTTTGAACTGCTGAACATGCAGATTAAAGGCCAACATGTAACCACTACACTACTAGGGCTCCCCTGGTGGATAAAAGGCCAACAAAATTGCACTTAAGAATTTTTTAAAAAATCATTTTATTAGGGGCTCATACAACTCATCACAATCCATACATATGGCAATTGTGTAAAGCGCATTTGTACATTCATTGCCCTTGTCATTCTCAAAACATTTCCTCTCCACTTAAGCCCCCGGCATTAGGTCCTCATTTTTCCCCTCCCTCCCCGCTCCCCCCCCCATGAGCCCTCGATAATTTATAAATTATTATTTTGTCATATCTTGCCCTGTCCGACGTCTCCCTTCACCCACTTTTCTGTTGTCAGTCCCACAGGGAGGAGGTCACATATAATTCCTTGTAATCGATTCCCTCTTTCCAACCCACTCTCCCTCTATCCTCCTAGTATCGCCACTCGCACCACTGGTCCTGTAGGGATCATCCACCCTGGATTCCCTGGATTTCCAGTTCCTATCTGTACCAGTGTAGCCAGACTTGCTAGGTAAAATTCGGATCATGATAGTGGGAGCGGGGAGGAAACATTTAGGAACTAGAGGAAAGTTGCATTCTTCGTCGTTGCTACATCGCACCTGCCTCCTCCCCGAGACACTTAAGAATTTTTTCCATCACAGCAACATATCTGTTCATTCTTCGAAAGTAATAAGGGTTGGCCTATAACATTTTCATTAGAAAATCTTACCCATTCCACCTCAACTCAGATCTTGCCCCTTCATGGAATTCTTTTTGTTCCTAAAACTCACAGGATATTTAGAAGGAAGACAATTTGAGTTCTTTGAGAATGCCAAAAATACTTGACATGGTATATGTTAAGGAAGCGAGAATTCTTTAGGGAAGGGTTAGCAATATGGAAACAGTGCCTTCAGCAGTGTGTCCTAAATAGAGGATATGTTGAGAAACAGTAGCTTTACGTTTGATATTTTTGTTTAATAGATTTTTATTTTTGTAGCAATACTTTCTGACTCATCCTCATAGAGTCTAGAACTGTTATTTTCCGTATGGTAACATCATGTGACTTCTGAGCACATGAACTTTGGATTAGACTCAAACTCTGAAGAAAAATTAATAGTTTAAAAAAATTTTTGCTTATGACTCAAACTCCGTGAAGAAAAATAGTTTTAAAAAATTTTTGTTTGTGTTTAATTGACAATATCGTATGTGCTGCGTTAAATGGATTATTTAAATTAATTTCACCTGTGTTTATAGCTTTAGCTTGACTGCTGGAAAGTTTTAAATTACATTTGTGGATTGTATTTCCCTTGGATCTAGAGATGATGACAAAGATAATGAAACCTACCACTTTGATTGCATTGTTTCATATTTCATTTACTTATATTAACTCAGTTAATCCTAATAGAAAAATTATGTAGTAGGACTACTATTATTTCCCTTTTATCATTGAGGAAATGGAAGTATAATACTTGCTTACTACTCTGAAGACTGCCTGAAATATTTTAGGTAGTATATTGTCAGTATTTTTAATACTTAGAATGAACTTCCATATAGTTTTATATGCAATTGTTGAGTTTATTATCTGATTTATTTTTGCCATTTGGTGCTAGTTCTGAGATACTAGAGATACTATCTTAAATCTTATTCCTTTCAGTTAGTAGTGCTAATGGTTTCAGAACAGATAAAATAAAGGGACTATTTTTGTGTCTGTTGAGTTTAGAAATTCTATCATATTGCTTAAGATTTTTTTATTGAATGAAGGACAATAATAGAAAACGCTTTGTAAAACAGCTGCTATACCAGACCAGAAATAGGAATTAGTTGAGTGTAGGTGATAGCAGTTTGTCTTTCTTGTTCATTTAATATAAAAATCATTGAAAAAAACCATATTTTACTTATTACTAAGAGATGCTGGTGTTATCAACATGTTATCTTCAACGTTTAAAAATATCTAAAGAGGGGTTGGGAGATGGGGGGGAATATCTAAAGAAAACCATATAATGTCTACAAACTATATAGAAGAAAACATTTAAGGGAACAGACTTCAAGATGTTTAAAAAATGGAGTCCAAACTTCCATAGTCCATACTTTTGTATACTCATAGAATATTTATGGATTTTTCATAATACATTTTAATCAGTAACAATAGAGTGTCTTGAGGACATTGATTTTGTTGGAGTTTGGTCTGCATGGATCTCTTAAGTGGTGGTACAAATGGTTGGTGTGCCCCGCTGCTAAATAAAGGTTGAAGTGCAGCTAACAAAAATCCACCTGACATGCCTGGCAAGAATGACCTGGTGATTTGCTTCTAAACCTGGACATTAAAAACCTTATAGCACAGTTATATACTTTATACTTGGTGCAACTGGTTTTAGGTCTGCCTGCTTGGTAGATTTGATCTCTTTTTACTTTTATAATTTTTAACACTTAGCTTATAATTATTTCCTATCTTTTATAGCCTTTGTGAAATATTTGTGAACATTTAATTTTTACTAATGAAAATATTGAGTATAATGAGAATTCAGAAACATTTTTTCCTAGATTCTAGCAGTATAGTTTTTGAAATTGGGAAATGATAGTTTTCATTTATACAGTTTGTATGGGTTTCATGACTTAAGGTTGTAGTGTTTAAAAATATCTGAATTCTTAAATTTTATTGTAGGCTTTGGAGTAGGGGACCAGTTTGCTAAAATGGAAATATTTGTTAACATTTTATAAGTTAATATCTTAATTTTTGTAATTAATAATAATATTCATTTTAGACTAAACAATTCTTTCCCTACATTCACATTATAGTCCTAGAAACCAATGCTCTAGAATAATGTTTTGTTGTTGTTGAGGGGAACTTGTTATTTTTTTAAATAGGATGCAGGACAAAAAAGATTTGGAGCCGTTTCCTGTAATATTTGTGGAATGCTTTACACAGCTTCAAATCCAGAGGATGAAACACAGCATTTACTCTTCCACAACCAGTTTATAAGTGCTGTAAAATATGTGGTAAGTGTACTTCATGCCTTTTAAAATTAAGATACAAACTCAGATAATTATTGCAGTATCTTACTGAGTTAAATTGCCAAATTTAAGCAATTGAAAAATGTCCTGTTTTTAAGAAGCAATAGTGTATAACATAAAACCCTTACAGTATAATTACTGGATTATTTAAAAAAACCCAAAGCCAAACATAAAAATCAGCCAGTTTATTCTGGCTGGTTTCTGTTGTGGACTTTTAATTTTAAATTATGTTTTAAATGTAGTTATTGTGCCTCTTGTATGACTGCAGTTGAACTTGCATAGTTTTAATTTTCTTTTTAAACTAATAATTGCTAACTATTGATGAACCTGTTGAATACTCAGGTAGCTTGACACACCCTAGTATTTTTGGATTGATAGTGATAAATATTTTGCCAAATAGGTGTTGGGGATTTCCTCTACTTTTCTCAATCATGAGAGTTTTTCCTTTATAAAATTAAGAAGAAAAAATTCATAACGTTTTAAAAACCTCAGAATCTTGTAGTATACTAAAAAAAAAAAATCCTACAACTTAAATGTTTTAATATAAAATATCTTAATATATGTGTGAGGCATAATAGATAATATTTAATATTTGTTTCTTTAAAATAAAATTTTTTGAAATTTTGGACCGTTTAAAATATCTTGTGAAAACGATTTAACCTAATGGCTGTTTGCCCATATCTGAAATGAAATCAGTTTTCACTGTATACATGTTACCTTCAGTACTGTACACTCACATTGATAAGACCTCCAGGATACCTGAACTGAGATCGCCAATTCATTCCATGTAGGTTTTTATAAACTGGATAAACTAAAGGTCTTTTATTGGCCTTAATTATATTCGTATATAATTTGGTTGAAGGATTTATTGCTCACTGTCTCATTCATCCACTTATTTAGACCCAAGTGAAATAGGGTTTCCACTTTTTTAACTTACCTTGTATTTCTTATTTCATCTGACTTTTCCATGTATATTTCTTCAAGATGGGACATAGACTTTATCTAGATATTGATTTGTCATTTGAAGATTGTTCTTTTTCCTCTCAGATTTTCATATTAATATTCTTAAAACTTGAAAATGTTTCTTTTAGATACCTGAGTAATAGAATATGAGGAGGCTTCAGAAATTTGTGATTAAATGGAATTAAGAATTTTTCCATGAAATCTTTGACTTCCACATATACTTAATAGCCAGAAGTAATTTCATTTGTTTTATGTAAGTGAACATGGTAGAGGTTAGTCCAAATGAGCCCTACTCAACTTTACTGTACTTTTGTTTCATAAATTGAAGGGGGGGTAGAGTTTGAAAAGATTAATTATTCATTCTAAGGAGTGTTCTTAGTTTCTGACAAGAACAAAAAAGAAATTAATCAAGAAAGATATTCTGCTCTTCCATAGTACCAAGACAAGTTGGTTTATTAGTTAATGGACTCAGAAGTAGTCATCACCTTCTAAACAGTGTGACTCTCCTGTAAGACTATAAAGTAGTGCATCAACTTAGGGAAGAGTGATTCCTGCCCTAGCCATTCCTAAGGCCCCCTTCCCCTTTGATGGGACAGATCTAAGGGTTATTTGATTTGTTTTTTCAATAAATTTGAGAAGGAATTGAGTTTAGCAGTTGGCTGTCCTTGGATACCATCAAGGTCACTGTTTATCTCTCACAGTTTTAAATTGCAGGCATACATTAAATCTAAGGTGGAAACATATCCAAAGTATTGTAGCTTTTTTTTTTTTAAGTGTTGTGCAGAGGATGAAAACGTATTTTAAGAATCCTGGTAGCTTAACCTGTTTACACTTCTGTGCTAATACAAAGGCTGTTTCAAACCCTTTCAGTGACTCCACAGGAGGGAAACCTGGCAGTCTGCCCCCAGAAAGATTATAGTGAAACCCCTGTGGGACAGTTCTACTCCCACCTGTCCCTGTGAGTTGGGATTGACAGTCAATGGCATTTAGCATCTTAAAGATATTCTGTGGTAATTGTAGTTCTCAATTTTGAGTTAAGACACTAAATGTTCATTCAGTACCTAAAATTGTACCTTGAACAGATATTAAACACAGTACTTTACAGAATATCTTTTGTGTGTGTGTGTCAATTTTATCTGCTGTTTGTTTCTAAGAGAAAAATACAAAGCAAACAAACTGTCATCCAGTCAATGCCAGCTCATAGTGACCCTACAGGACAGGGTAGAACTGCTCTGTGGGTTTCTCAGACTGTAACTCGTTATTTACAGGAGTGGAAAGCCTCCTCTTTCTCACTTCTTAGAGAAAAGCATGTAGAAAAGAATTCATTTAAAATGGACTGTGTTTAAGAACTGGAGATAAAAATATGATTAGTTGGAAGCAGTTTCACTTTTTAAATGTTAATTAGACATTCCTTAGAAAATAAGCACCTATTGTTTCGGGTAAAGAGCCCTGATGGCCTACGCAGGGGTCTCAAACTTTTTAAACAGTTGGCCAGTTCACTGTCCCTGAGACCCGTTGGAGGGCCGGACCATAGTTTAACAAAAAAACTATGAACAAATTCCTGTGCTCACTGCACATATCTTATTTTGAAGTAAAAAAACAAATGGGGCAAAAACACCCGGCAGACCGCAGTTTGAGGAGGCCTGGCTAGAGATTACATGTTGGGCTGCTAACCGCTAGTTCAGCAGTTTGAAATCACTAGTCGCTCTGAGGGCAAAAGATGGGCTCTCTACTCCTGTAAAAAGTCAGTCTCAGAAACTCACAGGGGCAGGTCTACCATGTCCTGTAGGGTTGCGATGAGTCAGAATCAGCTGTATGGCAGTGAGGATGGTTTGGTAAAGTTTTGTTTTTTTTTTCCCCACAGGGTAAACATTTCCTCTAGATAAAAATAATAGCCGTAACAATTAGAAATCACTAAATCCTATTTCTAAAAGGGAGAATTATGTACTTACTGAGGCCCCCACAGTCTGTTCTTGACTAAAATACTTTTCCCCCACTTTGGTTGGAAGTAGGACAGAGTGTGATGGTGCTCACTCTATTCCTTGATTTGATACATCTGCCTCCAAATAGGGAAATACATTTATTTATTTATTGGTTTTAGTGGAGACTTTTTAGGCAGGAGCTTGGAAATACTTCATTGGGAGTCTGGGCTTTAGGTTAGGCCTAAGAACTACTTGAGTTTCTTAGTCTATGGATTAAGGTACTCTGAAAAGTGTGAGGAGAAAGCAAGACAAGTTCTCCATTGTTTTTGATTCGTGGTGATGGAGAAGAATTTCCATCTAGGCTATAAGTTTTAAGAGAACAGTTAGCCGAGTCTTTTTTTCTCCATAGATTTTTCTGGTGGGTTTCAACCATCAGCCTATTGATACAGAGCCGACCTTGAACCATTGCAGCCTCAGGGCTCCTTCCTCCGGAGTGGCACATGGTTAAATGTTGACTGGTCAGGAACTTATCAGAAATTCAGTTGTTTTCTTCAGTCTTTCATTGATTAGATTGAGTCTTCTTTAAGTCAGTATGGAGAAGAGGAATATCATTTGGATCACTTTTTGCAAAGAAAATAATTTAATCTTTTCTTGTGTGCATCCTTATTATTATTGCCTTTAAATTGATTATCATCTGACTGAATGCTATGTGGGGTTTTTGCCTTCAGATTTAGGAGCAAAGTCTGAAAGGATTGAGAAGTTGGACAAGAAAAGTTTTACATACTTGTTAAAGCAATAGATTAATATTAAGTGTTTAAATGAGTCATATATTGACTTTGAAATTTAGAGGTGATAATTATTTTGATAGAACAGTAGTCAGAAAAGAAATTTGATTTCATAGGTGGGGAAGAGTTAAGATCTGATTTTTTTGAACTTGAGACAAGGGTCACTATATAGTTGATTTTGGGGAATAATGTTTGTGGGGAATAATTAAGTCAGTCTTAATGACTGAACCAGTTTTTTTGTGTGGCTTTTAAGGCTATAAAAGTACATCAGATCAGACTCTGAAGTATTTTAAAACTATTTAGACTTTATTCTTGATGTTGAAGTATTTGAGCAGGTAAACAGTATAGTAAAATTATTAATATTTTGCTGGAGATAGGAAGAGAAATAATATTTTCATGGCACTCCCTTTTATATTGTTATTGAAAATATGCACAATGAAAGGTAATACCAACTTAACATTTCTACCCATACACTTTAGTGACATTGATTATATTTTTTGAATTGTTCAACCTTTCTCACCTTCCTTTTCTGAGTTATTCCTCCCCATTCAGCTTCCCTCTTCCTATTCTGGTATGTTCCAGGTTGACATTCTTCACTAGTTTAGACTAAACTGTTGTTTGTTTTAAGAAGACTTCGGGGATATTTTTGGTTTAAGTTTTAAATATTACCCCAGGGCAATAATTTCAAGGGTTTATTTAGCACCCTAGGCTCCAGAAAGTTTGGAGTCCAAGAGAATTTGAAATTCTGTTTTGCATGTCTTCCCTTTTGATCAGTAATTTTCTAGAATCTTTGATCAAAATATTCAGTAATAGTAGCGCAACACGGCCCAGTTCTAGTTTAATGATAAACAAGATATTTGTTTATGGAGGCAATCTGCCACACATTTCGTATCCTCTTCCTCTTCCTGCCCCTCCTTTCTCTGCTGATCCAGGTGAAGGGAGGCCCAACTGTTGTGTCTTAGATGGCCACCGGTAAGCTTTTAAAACCCCAGGTGCCACACTGAACTAGGAAATAGAACCAGAAACACTGTAACTATGTTAGGCCAATTAATTGGAAAGTTCTATGAAACCTTGAATCTAAACTTTTAAACCAAGAAATCAAGTCCCAAGAGGTTTCTGGTTGTACGTATGCAACCTCAGCATCTATTAATTGTTTATCCTTATAAATATTTCTAGCATACAGCTTTTGTCAGTTCAACGTTCAATTATAGATGTGTAATTTATTACTGACAACAAGTACAGTAGTCAGCTGTGCATTCTTGCTCTCTTTTTTTATTTTATTTTTTTTGAATTTTTTTTTGCATT